CTAATCAGCTGTACATACGACATCATTCACACACAGAAATTTCGGTGCGATCGTTAATCGTGATTAACTACTGCTCTTAAAATGCGCAGTAGTGCCATTGCGCATTGAAGGTCAGGTCATATCAAACAAAGCACACGCTCCATCCAGTTTAAACACGTTTAAACCGTTCACACACAAAATGTCAAGCTCTCTAGATACGAACTTCGTATCTGCAGCCTGCTTTGAGGGGCGTATGAATCGCAACTTCGTATCTATCCGAACATCGTATAAACGATGTTCAAACAGGGAAAATTTTCTTTAAAGGTGTTTAAAACTGTTGAGTTAAATATGTTAATACTAATCATCTCTAGATACAATGAATTTTAGCTGTGTGTGAAAAGGCTGATAGACTTACAAGTTACAACCCCACCCCCCCCCCCCCCCCTCCCCTCCCAGATGATGCAATATTTGTATTCATTTATGCAATGGGATGAGATCATCTCAATGCAAAAAAAAATTTTAGGCGGTGATTAGGGGCTCCAAGGTCTAATTTCAATTGTGTTCGGGAAATGTTTGAATCCAAATCCAAATCTTCAAATGCAAGGTTTATTTTTCCCTAAATCTTAAAACTAAATATTTAATTAATCATAATGTGGGTGTTTTAACTTTAAAGTGTCTACTGGTACAGTATTTAGAGGGTTAATATTACTTGCTGATTTCATGCTTTTAGTTGTGGAAGTTTTTTTTGTTTGTTTGTTTAGTGTTATGATACAGGAAGCACTTTTATTGTTCTCTATATTTGAGCTTCCATCTGGATGGAACAAGAAACAAACAAATAACGATAGAAATATTGTAATCTTTGGCTAATTGTTATCATCAAATTCTGTTTTACATGACATCTGCCATTTCGCCAAGGCCATCATTTTCCATACAGAAATACGGTCATTGTTTTGTGCAGGTGTGCTTGATGTTATTTTAAGATATCATTTGGATAAGAAATATTTACTTTTGAAATAGTAATCGCTGTTTCAAGCCATTGGGCAGAAGAATGCAGATCACTTCAACCACTAACAGGATAGACAGTTATAATTTCAAAGGCTTTTTATCAGTTCATCATCATAAAAACCAATGGAGTGCAAACTCATCTTGTGAAATATTGCATTTAAGTCAACAAAAATTAACAAGTTTTCCCACCCAAAATGTGGGTTGAATTTTGATGTTTTATTTTTATTATTGTTTTATTTATTTGTTTATTTGTCATACAAAGTATTGATAATTTTGTTATGCTGTTATAATTTGACATTTTCCAACCTAAATGACTGTGTTGTCCAGAAATAACAATGTTGTTATGAAATATGAATGTATAATAAGATAAAAAAGAAAGATGTAGATTATAATCATTTGTGAGTTCTTATGTGTGGAAATTTCACATCATTGTTTACCATGAGGAAATTCATTTTTTAGAAAGATGAGATTTTCCTGTAATGGAGTTGGATTTTAAAAAAAAGATACACCCTAGTTCAGTGTGGGGGTGAATCCACTATTGTTTATTTTGGGAAAATGAAATTAATGAGGGAGCATGCACTCACACCCTACACTCTTTTTTTCACTTCTTCCCTCTCTCCCCCGTTCGCTCTCTCTCTCTCTCTCTCCTCTCCCTCCCTTTCTCTGCCCCTCACCCTCCTTTTCTCTGCCCCTCCTCCCTAAGTATAATTGGATATCAAGTCCTAAATGCATATGATATATATCTTTCTTGTTTTCTTTTGCATTTAACCCTTTCTGTGTTTCAATTGTTGTGACCAGGGCCTTCGCAAGTACAGGACGTGCCTGGCCTTTTTTCACTGGCTCTTCAGTAATTAGTGTATTTCTTGTTGTGTCTGGACTGGGCTGGTGAACTTAATGAAGTACTTCCTTCAGGAGACAGTTATTACTTCCTAAAAGGGTTGCCCCAGGACAGGCAGCATTACTCTCTCAAAATTTAAATTTTGATTGAATTATCTTGCTTTTGATGGGTGATGTTCTTAGCTAAATCAACTACAATGACACAACTCAGATCTGTCATAGCACTAGTTTCTTTGTTTCACTTTTTGAAACATACAGTTTATTATCATGTGTTATTTTTTAAAATTTAAATTGATTTTATTGGCTTGAACACTGTAGTCAAGTAATGAAGAGGCTTTGTGAGCCAAATCATTAATGTACCGCCAGAATTGTTTAATCTATTTTGATAGGATTAAAAATGTTTACTTTTATTGTAGAACCTTCTAAAGGCCAAGGTTAAATATGATTTGGTTTAAACTTTTTTCGAGAATTATCTGAAGATATTAACGTTATAATATATTTCATGTTAATTCATGTGTTGCACAACCTCAAGTGCAAGTTTGTCAGTCATCATAATCTGAGTTAGACTGGGTATCATTATGGGTATACATGTATGTATATATTATTACTAATAATTATTACAGATATGAAGTAAGAAGAGCTTGCCAAAATACAGATCCTGTTTTAAATGATTAGCATTGAGAGGCCAAAAGAGACACATTTTTGTTGGCATGGTTTTTCGACGGTGACACAATATGCCACTGCCTGCCTGTCTTATCAGAAATCAAGGGCCGCCACAGCGCCACCCTGATAAGCCCTCGTAATAAACATTTATCCTGCGAACGATGACAATTTGGAGTTATCGACGGTTCAGGGGGAAGGAATTCTTATCATTAAGTCTGTTTGGTGCTGGCCCTACATAACAGGAAGCGCATTATCAGGACCCTTTATCGCGGGAGGTTGGACGAGGGAAATCGCGCAGGAGGCTACCTCGCGGCCACTTTTTCCTTTTTCTTGTTATCTCTTCTTTTTTCTCTTTTCCCCCCTTATGCATGGATTCTGTTGATTAAGTTTGGAGGGCAGTCTTGAAGATTCTTGTCTCGATCTGCAGCAGCTAAAGTCGGCAGTAGTGGAAACATTTGCGATGGAGATGGCGTTGAGAGCCAGTTTATTGCCCCAGGGGATAGTCCACTGCCTGCACAGGGGTGATATCTTATCTCTGGCAGGGAGGTGTGGCTCGCGGGTTAATTAGTAGGGTGAATAGACAAATCTTTGAATGTGTGCTCACTCAGTTCGCATGAGCTTCTGTATCACAGTGATTAGGAGATGTCATATTTCATTTGCTGCAGTTGTCGTCGTTTACCTTAAAATGGGGCTGAGCTACGTGTGGCACTGCACTTTCTTTGTAAGCAAGATGAGCTCTTGGTTAAATTCATTTTGAAAGAAGTCTTCTTTTTTTGGTCTTTCATTTCAAAGGTAAATGATTGCACATGTCATAATATCAGTTTAATCCAATTGTCATTTCTATAATTAGCAGTTAACCTTAACATGGACTTACAGCATGGTTCATTGATGTCAACTATTTTCATTTGATTTATGTATTTTATGATAAATTTGAGCATCCATCCATGCATGTTTCAGAACATTAATCACGTTTTGTAACTCATTCTATTCTTTAGGAATCTTGTTTTTCAGTTTTGAATTCATTCATCCACAGATCGGTTAACACATTCAATAATATGATGTTCTTTGTTTAATTTGACCCTAATCTTTGTGTACTTTGGATTATCCCCCCACCCTGCCCTTTCTATGGAATCCTTATATGTCACTCAATGAGGCATTCAGGCAAAGAGAACCTAACTTGGAGAGTTGCCCAATGTACTCCAAATTCACTTATTATTTTACTTATTTACTACTTTGTTTCTGTATTAAAAACGGAATATTAGTTTAAACATTCAGTGTAAGATAGCCGAAGATGTGGTATGAAGGGAGTTTAATTTAATTGTACCTCTGACCATTTCTATTTTTTTGAGAAACAGAGTAAATTCAGCCCCCCCCCCCCCCCCCCCACCACTAAAAATGCTAAACTGAACTAAACAAAGCATGAAATGAGTTCTGAATCACTGGTTTTAATTATCCAACAATCATACAAAAAGATTATTTTTGCACATTGATTATAAACTGTCATTTTTACAGACATCCTAGAAACAGAATAACAAAACAGATTTCAATCTTATTGATGAACTGTGTTGCATTAGGCCATAATTATAGATGTCACAGGAAATACAAAACTTTATTATTTTCCCCAAATCCACATCCTTTGCCAGCGCTGTTGAAATCTGTTCATCAATTTTCATTCCAATCATATCTAAAATGCACTAAGAATAAACTGAAAGACAATGTGATAAAACAAAGAACATAATCTTGCAGTGCTCGAAGATAGAAAGGAAATCATGGAATAATTATGAAGTATTGTAACAATTAGTCAATGATGTGCAGAAAGAGTTAGATCAAGACAGATAAATAAAGTGAGAAGGAGTTGCAAGAAATAAGACAGATGAGGGAAAGTCCTGGTTTTCCCCCGTTTCCCTTCTTTGTTTTATATTAGCAGATTCTGATTTAAATATAAACTATGTCCCTTGCATTACATTGCTTCCGAGCAGATGATTATCGCTAGTCATGTTCTAAAAATGTATTTATTGATTTATCCAGACAAGCTATAAATTGGTATAGCTCCTTGGATAAGGAGGTCCCCCCCCCCCCCCCCCCCCCCCCGTTAAACATGCCAATTCAAGTCGCTACATTTCAGAAATCATTGAAAATATATTTGATTCAAGGATTTGATAAAGGGACAGGGGGAAGGGGGATCCATCATTTGTTAAGAGGTGGGGGTAAAATTCTAGAGAGAAAAAAAATATGAGAAATCCCCCTCCCTCTTCAGAAAAAGCAATCACTTTCTCTCCATGCTTATTTAAAAATACCAATCTCTGACAAAGGACAATATAATATAACAACATCAACAAACAAAAAACACTTCAAAACAACAACATCCTTTGAGCCAACCCCCCCCCCCCCCCCCCCTTTCCATCTGCCTATGAGAGGGCTTCCTTGTCATCGGAGTAAACCGAGTCAAGATTCAGTGAAAATGTCTGCAGCACCCTGATATTAACTTTTTATCTTCATTCCTTTGTCTCTTGCAGCAGAGAGCGATGTTGAGGAGCCGATGGATGACTCGTCGGCGGCGGCATCACCGACTCCAGACCACCACCACGATGTGGACCCGTCCAAGAGGACCAGCTCACCCCCCTTGGCAGAGATGGATGCTTCGTCAGAGGGGGGAGGTGACTCAGAAAAGGTGTTCCGGAGGAGGGTCGAGTGGCCGGTCAAGAAGGGGGCGACCATTGGACCCTTCTCTGCGAGGATTGAATTGGTGCAAGAGGAATGTGTCAGGGAGAACTCGGTGAGACATCATTTTTCTAATCATAGAATAACTCCAGTTTCCTGTTTCTGTAGGAAGTCACGTGCTGTATTAGTGTTCAGAGGTTATCAATAAGAGATTAATGAAATGACCCTTCACATGTTTGACTTCCTACATAAGACATTAATCTACATTTGCCACTCTCCACCCAGGTGAAATATATAGGTTGCTGGTTGAAAGAAATTCCTTGAATGCTTAAGCACCTTATCATGGCAGCTTTGCTACAGCTGGGGTGATAAAATATTACTTTGCATCAAGCGCAGTATGGTATATTCATATAGTAGCTGTACTATATAAATATACCTTTTATTTTACTCCTAAAAACAGTTTAGAAAAAATGTTAAAAACTTTAAAATGTTAACTCTATTACCTGTATTACTTAGGTCCTTTCAGGGTTCATGTTATGTTGTCATCCATAAGAATAAAAAAAAAATATTTCATGTATTTTCTTACATTTGTCTTCTTGCACTTAACTTATAATCATTAAGCTGTCTGACTAGATAACAGATATCAGTTTCCTTTTCGTGCATTAGATATGATGAATTACCAGCATTAAAAAATGATAAAATCTCTACTTCCAGCTGTTTCTATGGAGAAAAGACATTTATTGATGAAATTGATTTTTTTTTAAATCTTTTGAATATTCAGGAGGAAAGTTGCTTTTATACATTTTTTTAAATTTAAATCATTGGTTATAGAAATAAATCCAATCATCCTGCTCAGAGTAAGAAGGGTGTTAAACCTGTGTTGAGTGATGTGACTTAAAGAGAAGGTTGAGTTCTGGGAAGAGGTGAAAAATAATTTGTGAGCATTACTCATTCTTATTATGCAAGTGTGGAAGAACATCAGTTAAGACATGTTCCCTGAAAAGCTTGGCTTTTCAAATGCCTTCATATTCTAAATATGCATGTAACATCTTAAAAATCGGGGGGGGGGGGGGGGGGGGGCCACGTATTCGTGTAGTCCCATATACATCTTTCTGTGCAAGTGTTTGTAACTTTACCAAGACTTGGCCACATTTCTTATCATTTTGATGATTCCAGAACCTTGCAATACACACAAATTCTTATATGCTAGATGATCAACCTTTTCTGGTCGATTCCACACCGTTTCTTTCACAATGCAATCGCATGACCAGAACTCAACTTCATCTTTAATGCCCTTCTGGCTCCAAACTGACTCATTTAATGGATCAGTGGTTATTGCAAATTTAGTTTTCCATCTTTTCCATCCATATTGTTAAACTCTTTCAAGATTTAAAATGTAGATAAGATATAAAGTCACTGTTGAATTCTAAGCTTAAAATGAATCAATGATATTGAATAGGTATACCTCCAATTGTCAAAGATGGGCACTGGTTCTATGAACATATTCAACATTATTGACAATAAATATTCTGTGTAAGAGATAAAACACATTTTATCAATGGTTTTCATTTCTTTCTTACATCGTCCCCCCTCCCCCTTAGATCTGTGTGAGGGGTTCAAGCAAAGCTCTGTTCAGCATCTTCATCTTGGAGTACTACTGTGAAGAGATCCTTAATCAGACCAACATCAGACCTGCTAATGTGAACGGACCCAGGGCAGCACTGGTCTACATCTATAAGCCAGGTACAGTATGAGGAAATTCTCAACTTTTGGTTCCAAATTTCTTATCAGCAGATAAAAAACAAAAAATTATAACAATTATAATGGTATGTCTTTTTTTTACCTAGGGTAGCCTCATCAGTATTGATACTGTTCTCCCTGAGGGCGGTGTAATCATATTATCACTCCGGCTTTACCATTGTAATTATTGCATTATCCACAATCATAATATCATCTGCTTATGGGCACTTGCTATCTTTAAAGGAACATGAGCTGACGACCCCCTTTTGCCGTTAACAAAGAATGTAATAACATGTAACACAATCAGAGTGTGATGGATAAAAACCCTCTTGCAATTTAGGGTCATCTTCACAATTTAACCTTGTGTCTACTTCTGTGTCAACTCTTTGTTATGGTAATCGCTCTTTTTGCAAAGCTTCTGCTGAACTTTGGAACAGACAACCTTTAAATGTCAAAAACTGTCAAACTGTTAACCAATTCAAAACTAGTCTTAAGACACGTTTATTCAAAATCGCTTTCGATGATTAACTAAATCTGTTCACTTTGATGTGTATTCCATATATGTATTGTAATTTGTAGGTTTTTGGGCATATTTTTGTTTTGTTAATATGTAATTGTTTATCAGTCTATTTTGTTTGTTATAGCGCTTAGAGACTTCGATGGTAAGAGCTTTATAAGTAACCTTTTTATTATTATTATTATCATAAGTTTTCACTTGTATATATGATTCTCCAGACAAGCAGCTGTATCTACTTACACTGAAGGATGTAGAGGAACAGGACAACATCCCCACCGTGTTCTTGGAAGGGGGTCAAGACAGACACCCGGGGTCAGAGGAGGTCGATGACCTCATCCAGAGAGAGGTCAAAGCTGCAGCAGTGCAGAAAGCTATCGGAGGTGTGATAGCAGCTGGGGGGTTTCCAAGCTATTCAGGTATGTATGGGAAGGAGGGAAGTGCAACCCATTTTCAGAGGAAATTTTTAATAATTGTTTTTAAAACACAGGACAATAGAGTGGTGAAGTGTGACGTCATCAAAAATTTATTTTTAGAATTTCTCAATTTTTTTTTCATTTTCCGAAAGAGCATAAAAAATAATGTCCAAATGTCGAAAGCCAATTGAATATGTTAAGTATTGGCTGAGATATGACCATCTGAATAAATAAGATTTCCTATACGAACTCAAGTGTTATTTTGGTCTGGCTCATAACATTACGAACAGCTTCGGTACTCTACCCCCTATCTTAAATAGTTGCTTCCCTTCTACATGTCCAATTAATCATGTAACTCTAAGACATTTGTACCCCCCCCCCCCCTTCCACAATGAAATGAATGTCTATTACATATAGCTTGAATATTCAGTGGGTATTAGTTGCCATGTACAAATGTACTAGTTGTCTAAGGATAGATTGGGGTACATGAAGTTTGTTGTTTTATAGTTATTCCAACTGTTTTTTTCTCCTGGACAATTGGACCTTTCAAATTGAATTTCAATTTCCATTTCTCATAGAGACTTTTGGTTCCCCCCCCAAAATATGTGATGCATTTTGCCTGTATCCATTTTGTTTATGTTTACAGTGTTAATGTAATTCTGAATGTCTTTTGTACACCCACAGATGGCGCCAGTCCCAAAACAGAGTTAGGAGGTGGTGCCACCAGCCCTCATGATGATCCAGCTAGTGGCATACAGGAGCCTGTTCAAGGTAAGAGACATGATCCTAGAAGCTATAATATTGTAATGAAAACTCTGAAACTCTGGTCTTTACCCTCGAAATTCAGATTTTTTTATTTTTTTTTCATAGGGCTCATTCATACAGACTCTGAAAAGATCAATCCTACCCCCCCCCCCCCCCCCCCTCCTTTCAAAAAGTTAGTGCGGTGTCCTGTTGGATATTGGTGAAATGTTCAATTCAATCAAATGTTGGAATCATTCTTTAAGTATTTCATCAATACATGATGTATTCCTATATATTCCTACATAAGTATGCCAGTAGCTTGAATGAACTTGTGAATTTGCCTATTTCAAGTCAGTATAGTGATATATAGAGAGTTTATTTTTAATTTTTAAAGCACATTACTGAAAAAGAGTACTCTTATTTAAGAGAAGGGTCAATTGATTGAGTATACATGTACATTGTTTTAAATGTATGCTGTTTTCTTTACAAATCAAATTCATTTAATAGCTACTGTAAACGCTGTTATTTTTGTGTGATAATTTTTCGCGCTGAGCGACCCCAGAACATTTTCACAGGTTCTTAAATTTGTGTTGCACGCAATTCAGCCCGTTTAAAACAAACATAAGAAGTCATGCTTATATATTTGCGGGTTCTAATATTCGTGGACACAGACTTTAGCGCAAAATTCGTGAAAACTAAAGCACCACAAATATTATGACGTTTAGAGTATTTGATTAGCACAGCCAAAGAGGAAGGTCATATCATAGGAAGGTGAGCTTTTGGCTCATCAACTACTGTGCCAGCACATTCACTTTGACCTCACCCTTCCCTTGACTAAATCAGCAAAAATTGACAATGCTAATCAGTCGATACTGATCTAAAAAAGAAAACTACAATAAGAGTATTATTGGAGAGTTAACATTTGTGATGTAAAAAGTGAAATTCGTGATCAGTGTTATTATTCCTTTTAGATAATAAGGTATACAGTTTTCATGTATTTAATTGTAAGAAAGGCTCAGACTCAGAGTGTAATACTATTCCCCCTCTGTTTTCCTTCACAGTGCCATCTGTAAGCTGCCAGTCATGTGGTGTGACTTTCCGGAATCCTGCCAATCTCAATGCTCACCAGCTCTACTACTGCGCTGCAAGGGAGACCACGCCAGTCCCTCCTTCCACCAGGAACCGTCCTCCACGGCAGCCAAGCACACCCAGAGAAGCATATGCTGCTGATCAGGCTGTATTGGCCAAAGAGACAGGACAACCTGAAGACCTGGTGTGCATCCTCTGCAAAGCCAGGTTCTCCAACCTTACAAACTGTCTGAGCCATATGATCAAGTTGCACACAGAGCAGAACTCCCAGGCATGCAAGTGCTGTAACTTTATCAGCGTGGACGTCAAACTGCTCAAGGAACACATGCTGATTCATGTTCGAGGGAGTGGGATCAACCCAAACATTTTCATGGCAACACAGGGTAGTCGTGCTCTGATGGGGCCATTGGCCTTTCATGGGATGAAAGACAGAAGATTGGAGGAGAAGAGGAAGCGAAAGAAGCATCACCAGGCACCAGGTGGTCATGCTCTGTCTCCTCCACATGACGGCGGCAGTTCTAGTACTTCAACAGTGGATGAAGATCAGGACCAAACTGATGATATAAAAACCAGTAGTGCTGTCAGAGACAATGAACAAAATGGTTCCCTGTCACAAGATAATAGAAATGCAGAGACAGAGCCAAGTCTATCAACTTCAGAAACCAGAAGAACTCCTCCAGCATCCTCCAGTGATCTAGGAAAGGTTCAGAATGAACTCCAAACCCGACCCGTTGGAAGATTCCTTTGTGTTGAGTGTGACATCTACTTTTCAAGTCACAAAAATTTTGTCGCTCACAAGCAGTTCTATTGCCAGGGTCACACCAAAGAAAGGAAGCAAGTGGGACATGGGCAAGTGCCTCCTGTCCCCGCCCCGCCTGTTCCGTTGGTGCAGTGTGGTAACTGTGGTGCAGTTTTCCCTAGTAGGGACAAACTGGCAGTTCACACCTTGTATTTCTGTCATTGTAGGAAGCCAGGTAATAGCAGTGCTCAAGTCTCTGAACCACTAGCAGACAAATCTAATCAGCAGGGCAAACCTAGTCTGAAGAATGATCCTGAGACGGGCAACAGCGAGGAAGAGAAAGACAAAACTGACGCTGACAGTTCAAAAACGAAAAATGCTCCTTCAGCAAAACCTCAAGTAAAAGTTGAACCTGATGAAGATGCTTCAGGAAATAATAAAGAACATGAGCAGAGTGTTACAGGAAATAGAGGTGTCTCTCCAAATGTTCCTCTATACCAAGCTGGTATGGCCGGCAATGGCCTGTCACCAGGGTCGGTTCTCTTAGCCCCAGGAAACATACCAACGTACATTGGTAGACAGGGTAATTCACCAGTCTACATTGTAGCTTCACACGTGTATGTGACTCCACCAGGAGAACCTGGATCAAGGGGCATACCTCCGGCTCCCTACCCGCAGTTCTCTACCGTCATCCCAGGGGGTCGAGAGGTGGTCTTCAAAGGGGAGCATGGTGCACCCATTCCTGGCGAGAGGCCACTGGACCTGACTGTACGCAAGCGAAAGGGATGTGAGGAGATTGTGTCTGAAGGAGGCAGTGCGTCAAAAGTCATCAAGAATGAGCCTGTCGATCAGAAAAGCGCTTCATCATCGCCCACACCGCAACCAGAATCAACATCCAGCATCCCTCCTCCATTTAACCTTTCAAATTTCCCAGGGCATGTCCAGTACAAGTGTCCAGGTTGCCACATAGCATTCAATCGTCTGGAAAGCCTGGATATCCACAGGCAGTTCTATTGTCAGTCAGAGAGTGGCAGTGGAAACCAGACACCAGTTCTTCACTCTAGCACTTCTATCCCTGTGCATACCACATTGCCAGCACTTCCCTATTATCAAATTGTTACTAACCCCGGTCCTGCCAATGGTGCTGCCCTTGTGCCAGCTCTCGCAACAGTTAATCTCAGAGACAATCACTCAGCTATTTCTGAAAGTAAAGGAATTGAAGGAAGCCGATCACTGTCCAAGGGCAGAGCTAGCTCCAGTTCTGGTGCAGAAGCCATGGAAGGTATAACTGCATCGGAAACTACTTCACCATCACAACATGAGTCCAAGGAAAAGGAAAATAAAGACTCTAAGAAAACGCCAGAAACTTCAGAGAATCTAGGAAGTAAGGGATCCAGTCCTTCCACTTCAAGGACGTCTCCAATGCTTCCTGGCTCACCAAACAATCTAGCCAGACATCCTGGAGGCCAGAATGGAGATTCTAGTGAATCCGGTGGACACACTGTCCCCATGTACATGCCATCTGTAGTGAGATACATGTGTCCAGCTTGTGGAGTGTCTTTCATGAAGTTGGAGTCATTGTCTGCCCATCAGCAGTTCTACTGCAGGGCCTCACAAGAAGCACTCAACAGTGACAGAAGTAGTCCCAACGTCAAGGGCAGTGTCCCATCCGATTCCATTCCGATAACGGGTTCCATGATGCCAAGGTCTAGTAGCAGAAGCTCAGAAGATGCACCAATGCCTTCAATGAAAAAATCACCATCAGGGCACTCGAGCAAGAGGAATGAATCAATAGCAGCTATGGACACCAGAGAGAAACCTGATGTTGGAGAAGCTGTTCCAGGAGAGTCCAACAACACCAACGTTCATGCAATCTTGCCGGGAGCAGAAAAAGGTGATGATTCCGGAAACGAATCAAGAACTTCTTTGTCCCCAGATGATAGTAAGCGTAACAATGCAGCCAGTATTGATGTGAGATGCAAAGAGAATGGGAAGGAAAAGGACAATGCATGTACCATTCAAATTAAGTTGGAAAAGGAGGAAGAAGACTCTGATACACGTGATACAAGTGATACTTGTACCATTACAGACAATAACAATGTGATCCATGTCAAGTCGGAGAAAATAGAAGGAGACTCTTGCTGCTCCGGTACCGAAAAATTGCTCCCTAAAGCTTGCAGGCAAGAAAATGGGACCTCTGAAGCGCCCTCTTTGCAGAATGGATGCCATGGCCCGGAGTCTGCAAAAGGAGGGGTAGATTTTACACCACCCAAAGCACTTGACAGTACTGAATCAAATCCCCCGGCCTCGCCTCCTTGTGGGGTGAATGGGCCTCGGCATAATGGTGCAGGTGTAACCGCCGGGGTTGCAGGACGACCAGCTCCGATCATGTTGAAGCACTGCAGGGCATGTAACATAAGCTTCTCGAGTTTGTCCACGTTCATAGCTCACAAGAAGTACTATTGCGCTTCTCACCATGTTGCTAAGAATCCTGTCCATTAATTTAAGACATAATTAAGATCATAATTTGGTTCATCAAAAATTGGAGAAAAAAGGCAATAGGGATATCGGTAATTAGTTTACTTTCCTTTACGATGATGGTCTTTGATTACCTGCTCCCCCATGTTTTCTTTTTCAGTGTTCCATCTATTATGAAAATAATGTTTTTATCCAATTGTACTGATGATGTGATGTTTTATGAATTTAAAAAAATTAAATATTTGAAATTATGAAATAGGAAATTCTCTTAGAGATTCACTACATGTATAGATTCCGTCCAAAAGCATAGAATAGGCTTGTAAATACTTGTATATTCTTTTAAGAAAACACAACAAAAAAGAAGATACATTTATTTAATAAGGCAAGCGTTGACTAGTAGATGAAAGGAAAAGAGAGAGAGAAATATTTTATAAGAGATCAAAGATAGTTGTTCTTTTTAATAGGAAAAGAATATGGTATGATTTGTTTATGAAGTCGAGATAATCAGTTGAAAGGGGGGGCTGTAGTCAATCCTGTCGTGGCAAATTTACCAACACGCGCAACATCCCATATGTCTTCGAAGATTGAATGTAGTAGACAAGTGTTCTGAAGATTATCAGATTTGAGGCGCTCTATCGTTGCACCAAAATTTCCAGGAAGCAAAAATCTTATCAGAATTGTTCATTTGACAGGACAGTTCAAGCTGCATTGTATTTCTTTTCGAGACAGAAAAATTGTATATAAAGGACTTGTTGACAACAAAAAATGTGTATGGCGAGATATTGCAACCTTCTCCCCACTCTAGCAATCTTCCCTTCTAGATTTAGTAACACCCTTATGCATGGAAATGGGAGCAGGGGGAGTTCTATTACCCCATCTCCTTCTCACAACACCGGGGGTGTTGCACAAAGATCCTAAGTTGGACTTAACAATTATGGAAATCCATTAGCATCTTTGAAAATATTTTGTAAAAGTCATTTTAAAAGGCATACATGTTGATTCAAATCATTTTATTTTCTATTATCAAGGAGATTTCATGTTTCGTCTTTATTTGGAATTCATAACAAGTCTGAAATACTTCAATTTTCACTTTTGAATATATTTTATTTTAAGGCTACAAATGGCTCACCATAATTTTTTAGTCCAACTTTGAGTAAAGTTCAACTTAGGATCTTTGTGAAACATCCCCCTGGTATGGTTCACAGGGATTGTTGGGGCAACCCCAAAACGTAATGATTTGGTCTTTGTGTAAGTGGCGGGGGGGGGGGGGGGTTGTAAGAGATTTTTAGAGTCAAAATTGAAGATTCACTCAAAAACGAAGAATTATTGTTATTTATTATTTATTTATTTATCTATTTATCAGTTAATTCATTCCTTCATATATTTCTATAATACTTTTTAATTTATTTTTTTCCTTGGTTCTCATTTTTTGCAGTGAAAGTTTACCCCCAAAATGAAATGACCCTCTCTTTTTTTGCTGGTAGCTTTAAGTATACTGATACTTCCTTAGCAGTGAGATAATCAAATAAATGATAGAGTTTTGATAGAGCGACATGTTTTTTTTTATAATAATACAGTGGAACCTCCTTATATAGAGCTCTGATATAACGAGGTACAGTATCTGTTATGACAAGGGGATTTTGGTGGTCCCAGCTTTTTTCTTTCTTTTGGAATTGCCTTGATATACCACAAGATTCGTGATATAACGAATGAATTTCCATGGTCCCAATGACCTTGTTATAACAAGTTTCCACTGTAAAAAAGGTGGATTCTTGTCTGGCGCTCATATCTGTTAGACTTGAAACTCCTGGTGCTCCACAATTACCGTCCCGGCTTTAGCATGGCTCAAGCCCTTTATGGATGCCCTCAAAGGTAAAGACCAGTTATGGTCATGCGATTGCATTGTGAAAGAAACGTTGTGGAATCGATCAGAAAAGGTTGATCATCTAGCATCTAGCATCTGCAAGGTTCTGGAATCATCAAAATGATAAGAAATTTGGCCCATTCTTCGTAAAGTTACAAGCACTATACACAGAAAGATGTATATGGGACTACCCTATATCTCTCACAGACCATGAGAGAAACAAATTTACCAAATATATGAATTAGTAGGCGGTTTCCCAGCAAATTTTTTATCATCATGTATTAGTCAAAACATATTCTTTCACATGATTGGTAATGAGAGCTTCCATTTCATTTTTTGAAATTGGGGCGTTTCCAATACTGGTCTTTACCTTTAAGAAACATCAGCCATTTGCCCATCAAATTTAGTTTCTCTAACCTTTGGTTAAGAGGCAATGTTATTAACATTTTTCAGGAGGTCATGAAACTGAAACCTTGGGTCTCGTAGTAGGGTATTTTGGTAGTGATATCAAGTGCCGGTGTCGAGTGACGTCACCATTCGACACAGAGAGATAATGTCAAACAAGTGCTTTTCTATGATTTTTACTGTTGTTATGTAATCTACCCGTTTCGCTGTATAGATGATCTGATGTATCTTGCCATTAGTGTAAATATGCGAATTTCATCTACATGAATGTAGATTCAATGTATAATGTTAAACAGCTTATGAAGCTGATGCTAATTAAAAGATCTTTAATGATATTCATTATATGTCTAAGGCTGTTTTGTTGTTTTCGTTTCTGATGTTGTCATTGTTGTTGCTGCTGGTGTTGATATAAATTGTGTAATTGTTATTGTTGTTCTGCTTAAAGGTACTATGTCCCATTTGCAGGCCAAAAAAAATGAAAAAGTTAAATTCCAACTACATTTGAAAGATAATACTAATTTAGAACTTCCCTAAAAAAGGTGGGGCTTGAAAATGTCTTCAAGTGAGAAAATAACGACTATTAGTTGTCAAATCGACTTTAGGGCTATAGAGCCCAAAAGTAATAGTCTTGATTTTCAGACAAATGTACCGAATAGTCATACGTTTTATGCTGCGCAAAGATTCAATCGGTTTAATCTTGGCTATCACAAGAAGTGGGTTAATGCTCATGTACCCTTTACAACTCTTTTCATGTATGTTATTACCAAAGAAGAAAAAAGCCAGTCAGTCACTCAATAGTGTCTGACAGTGAAGTCTAGCAAGTAAACGGGTTTCCTTGCATAATTTGAATATGAGGACACTGCTAACGTTTAAATTTCACTGATAGGACATACATGACATATTCATAATTCCTGCAAAGTTCTACAGCATTTGAGGTTGGCTACAAAAGGGACATAGTACCTTTAATATCATTTGAAATCATCGTTATTTTTGCAATTATCTATTTGTTTAGCCTGAAGTATGAACTGAATCCCCTTCCCCTTCTTTGCCTAAAGATTTACGATAAAAAGCAAAAATAACTATTCAATGATATATGCACTACGATGTTCATCCAATTTATGAACTGACATAAAGAATTGATAGTTTGGAGTATGTATTTGGGGCACAAATGAAATGATAGTTCTATTTTATGTAGTTTTATTCGGATTTATTTTTCCAGTTTGAAGAGGTGGATTGAGGAAACGTCATGAGAATGAGTGAAATAATGAAAGACATGCAGGAATTTAAAAATACATGTACATTCAAAGTAGAAGAATAGACGGAAGAGTTGTGGGGGATCCTTGTAAAAGTGTTAAAAAGTGAATGACTGGAGGCGTGTGGGGTGCGGTAGGGGGAGGAGGGGGTAAGGAAATGAAGGAAAGGGGGGAGGGGTGAAGGGAAGAATCAGTTTGAAAACACTGTCGCAAAGACTTTCAATAAATCAGCTCAAGTGCAATTTCAATTTGCCCATCCCGTTTTACATCCCTAGGAAACGCTGTTCAAAATTTAATGACGTAATGCGTCATTGGAATGTTCGCAAATCTCAACAGGCGTATCAGGGCAATTACCCCAGAATATTAACGCCCCCTCCCCTCCCAAAAAGAATGATAACCCCCTGAAAAATTACCCCTCAAGGACAACCACACCCCGAGGACGATTACCATATGCCCCCAAAGACAACCCCCCCCCCCCCCCCCCCCCGTTCATTAAAGCCCACCCTGATAAAAATTGGTTTTAATAAAAGCAGATTTTTTTTTTCGGGGGGGGGGGTGATTGTCCAAGGGGTAGTTTTAGGGGATAATTGTCCATGGGGAGGGGGTATTATACTAGGGATTATTTTCCAGGGGGGTATTGTCCTAGAACCCTCTCTTAATTGTTTAAACACCACATTATTTTGTAACATGAACCAAAAGTCCACGCATCAGCGAGTTCCTCGGACTACCATGCTTGATATAAAATTAATGTAGTTTGAAAAGATGGTAAATTTCTTGCCATTGATTAGTGGTTGATGCTGTGTGACCTGCTTTATGAACAGCGCCATCTTTCATCACGTATGTGTCTGATCGAAAAGAAATTATTGAGTTTTGTCCAATTATTGACAGGGACTATTAAAGCTCGTTAAACATGAAAAACCTTTTTAAAAAACTGGACTATAGCATAGCAAGAAAAAAAGATTGAAGAGTAAACAGCAAGAACCCCCCCCCCCCCCCCCTCCTGGCACGGAGGAATGGGTCGTGTTTTGGGTCACGACATTACGGGACATCGGCATTAATGAGGGGGATGAGACACAACTTTTACTCATTGGGTGAAATGTGAATTAACTTGAAATCCATCGATTGGGGGTTGGAGGGGTCTTACGCAGCACTTTTTTGTTACACTCCCTCCAATGTTCTCTCTCCTTCTATCTCTCTCTATTTCTCTCTCTTTTAGGCGGGGTGTGATCAGAGGCGTTTCCAAAGGGGGATGTTGGGGTGCGACCCCCCCCCCCCCCCCCCCCACCTGTCAGGATATTGTCGGTAAAATTGCGCTGCCGTCGGGAAAAAGAGAAAAGGGGGAGGGGAAAAGAGAAAGAAGGGAAAGAAAAGGAAAAGAAAGAAAAGAAAAGAGAAGAAAGAAAGAGAAAAAAAAAAGACAAAAGAGGGAGGAGAGGAAAGAAAGGAAAAGAAAGAAAAGAAATAAAAGGAAAAAAAGAAAAAGAGAAAAGAAAAAAAGAGGGAAAAAAAG